GGGAAACTAGATAGTCAATGATCTTATATAATTTTTTTTATAATATTCCCACTAATCTCTTTTATTGTCTTCTTTTATTGTATTCGTTAAAAGTAATACAATTGCTAGATTGAAAACGTAATATATTGGTTTTCATATCTGTGATACATGTAAATAGTGCGAACTTTGACTTTAATTATCTCAGTTTCGACATGATCAATCTTCTTCTAATTACACACGTATCGATCGTATTTTGAGTAATATATACTATTAAAATTTGAAAGGATTTTTAAAGAAGTTAGTTTATGAAGCAACTATCTTAAGTTTAGAGCTAAATGTGAGTTTTTCAGTAAAATCGTATTTGCAGATGCAATGTCATGTATATCACGTGTTTCAGTTAGAAAACTCAGATCTAACTCTAAATTCAAATCTGAATATCTCACATGAAATAAGTTTCAAGTAACGACTATTAACACAGATCTTACACTTGCAAAATGACATAAGATTGTTATTAGGATCGACTCATTTATTCACGAGGAATAACCATGGCATCGACATTAGGTTTGAGCTCGAAATTCGCGCTCATGCGACACTTGCTATCGCACTGGCGCACTGTTTGTTTCTAAAATGCGTCCGCGTAGCCGCAATGAGCAAATAGGTGGTGCGGCATTAGATATACAAAATACCGCAATCAGACGCAATCAGACTCCATGAATACGATACATTCGAAAATGATGTATTTATGTATTTATATATTTTGTAACTAAAGGAAGATAATTGAGAATATTCTTCATGATGATGTTGATCATGACATCAAAAGCGAGAAATGACGCTTTAAAAGTTCTTACGTGCCATTATCAAATAAAAAGATATTTGAATGAAAGAACACATCAAATCACTTGAATATATTTATAAAATATAAAAAGTTATTTTAAAATATTTAAAGTATTTTAAAAAGTATCTTTCCCTTGACAATCAATAAATAGTCATAAGCTGTTTAAAATTAACGTGGTATACTCACAAGAAAAGATATGTTAAACAGGAAAATTGCATTTTATGACTGTTTACACTCATTTATATATCAAAAGAAAAGAATAGTTTTTAGAGCATTTTACAAGTATAATGTTTAACGCATTTATACTTCATTCATTATACTTCACTAAAGCTTTATCCGATAATTCTTCTTTCCCAATTAATTAGAACTATTTTTTGCGTCTTCCGCTATTTTACTTGCCTGCTAGCAAACGAAATAGACAGAATCCTTTCTCGCTGCGGTTTTTGCGGTTTTTCATACAACCAGGTATTTTCGTCTATTTGCATAGTTAATTTAATCACATTACGTTCCATACATAATCAGATTATGGAACTTGCACTACATCTGTACATAAGTTACAATAAGTGTGCTGTATCTGCTAAACGACGCCATTTTGGTTTCAAATGTGAAAGCATTGATTTTTATAGATTGCGATACTTTATGTTATCTAGTAACTTTAGTGCGGCAGTGTTTATCTGAATCGCAGAGAGGGGGTAGCGAGTGCTACTATGTACCGTCACGTATTGCGCAAAGTGACACACACACATACACACACACACACACTCTCTCTCTCTCTCTCTCTCTCTCTCTCTCTCTCTCTCTCTCTCTTCGGAAGCAATTAGCCGTGTACCGCATTTCATTCACGCGTAACCATGATCTATCCGGCTCGCTGCCACGATAACGCCGACCGATCGAAAATGCGGATTGATACAAATGTCAATAATTTCACTTGTAGACGTCGTAGTAACTCAAAATCGAAACCATCGGAAAAGGGAAATTATGCACTTGATGAGCATGAAATCGTCCTTCTGTGGAATCAGGATCAAATAACATAATAATGTAAGTACTAAAGACAACGGTTTTTGCGCTTCCGCGAAAGTGATCATTAATTATTTATTAATCATTGATCGTTTGAATTGAACAATCGTCAGATTTATTAATCGAGACTTAAAACTGCGGTGATAATCAAAAGTATAGATAGATAATATGATAGAGTGCCAAAGATAGAGTATAAAATTTAAGCATTGTATCCATTAGAAATACCTTTAGTGGAAGAGAGAGAGAGAGAGAGACTATACATTTATATCTTACCCAATACACAAAAATCATAATTATATTACTGGTAACCCGTGGGAATATTTTGAAAACCGCCCTGTTTTATAGCCTAATGATTCGCTGATATGCGTTTTCTAATGACGTAACTAATCCTGTGTGTGTGTTTCCGGTTTACTTTCCATTCGATATCACAAAAACTGCCACAAAACACTTCACTATTCTTCTTTTAGAAGTTTTTATATAAATTTGAAAGATAATATGATACATTGCACACATAAATCAAGAAGACAGAAATGAAGATTTTACGTTATTACCTCATATATTTATAAACTGCAAATCTTCTTTCTCGATTATGTCTGGGAATAGGAATAAATTACAAGAGTCTGGGAATAGGAATAAATTACAAGAGAGAGAGAGAAAGAGAGAGAGAGAAGGAGAGCCAGTAAATATATTTCAGAAACACTAATGTATCAATGAAATAAATATTATAATTGAAGTCATAATAATTGAATCTGAGAAATAAAAATAAAGACTTCACGGTATCACTCGTGGATTTAAAGACTCAAAACTCTCTTTATATTTAGAAAACTCTCAATTATATTTAAAAAAAGTAGGAGAAATAAATATTTATTAGGAAAACCTGTAAATATTTTAGAAACCGTACATTAGCGAATTATTGGGCTATATATAAGGCGATTTCCAAAAAATGTTTCTACAAATTATCAGTAATATAATTATAATTTTTGTATATTAGATAATTTATATAATGTAAAGTTATGGTCCACTAAAGTTATTTCTAATGGACAGAAATCGATCCAAATTTGACATCCTTCTTTCTTGAAGTAAAATTTTCACTCGAGACGTGAAAGTATTATTACACAAGGGTGAATGCTTCATTCAAAATTAGGAGTAGATTATGACTTTATGAACGAATGTTTCGATCAATTAGAGCGAATTAGTTTGTTTAGCATGACGGTAGAATGTATCAGATTCATTCTTCAATTTTGAATGAAAATATTCGCTCAACGATTTAGAGTGGAGAATTTGTTCTATAAGAATGAAAAATAACTCGAATTGAAGTGACTCGGCTGTCATTCTACTCTTTGAGTGAAGTTTCACTTTAAATAATTTAGAGAGTACGTCGATATACTTACCAAAAGTTTTCAGCCAGTCGCATTCGTATGCAGCCATGCATTTCTCATGATTTGATTAATTCAGAAAGCGGGGTCGTGTTTGCTGGATTAAATAAATAACAGTGATGAGAAACGTGCTACTAGAAATTAATGTAGCTGGTCGTAAATATTTAATAACTATCCGTCTATCGAATGGTAAAACATCCGCGGAACTGAACGTACGTGTCAGAGAAATATGAATTCAAAGATATTAATGGTTAATAGTTAATTAAGTAGCTCGTTTGAAGCAATGTTTATTTATATCTCCGCGCACAGACGAATAAATAAACTACAAATTTTCTACTGTGGACTTGTCACTCTTTATTCTCTGATATTTAGTATAGAAATAAAATCAACAAATAAACGGAGCTGCGTACGTACGCCGAAGTTCACACAACATACGTGTGTAACTTAATGTACTTAACAGACAAGCCACTAGTCTTAGACGCCAAGGCAAACATAAACGGGAGAACTCGCGCATTATTTTCGTTTATTCTAAATTAATTGAGATATGTGTGGAATGTATTACGGGACTTTGCAATCGCGATCATCGTGCTGGAATGTGTGCGAGCAACAGTAACACACTAAAATTGAAAAGTGACTACCGCATTTCACTTTTATTAGATCTCAAAAAAGAAAAATCGGATTTCGTATTCTTAGCACCTTTGTTTTAAACATCCTAAATTCGTATTAATAATCGTTGCCTGAAACTTGTCCTACACGAGATTCTCAGATATAAAAAGGGCGGTCTATCAAATACGGTCTATTTTGTCTGATTTTAAAATTTTCGATAATAATAATTTTTTGCATACTATTAAAGTTCACGTCGAGTCAGTTCCGAAAAAATGTAACTTTCTAACTTAATCCAACTTAACCGTTGATTGTACTGATGATTTTTATTTCGACTTGCTATGTGCTGTCTGACAATCAATTATCGCCAATTACTGATCCGTCAAGATTTCATTAATAAGTTTTGCATTGGTATATTTACACGCGGACATTTAGCCCGCGGCCTATATCTCAAATTCAACCTAAATTATTTAGGCCGTTTGCTATAAACTTTCGACAGGCGACCTGACCTAGCTTTAGGTCAGGCTTCGTATTTTAGTGACCTGACCTAAAATGCGATGTCTGCTTTTTCGCTGTAAATGCACGACACGACGCTCAATATACGATTCGCTGCTGTTTCGCTGAGTGGTAGACTAAATTCGACTTCGTCAATTCTTAGGTCCCTAAACGGCTAGACCTACTTTGGGCCACAGTATAAGTCAGTCGCTGGATGTAAACGTGGCCATTATTTGACAGCAAACGATAAATATACGAAATAGTTGAATTAACTACCACTGCCAGCTTATACTTGTTTTTGTTTACATAGCGCCATCTGTAGAAATTGCGACTTTTTTAAGCTATTTTTCTCGAAAATGATAAAAAGCTCAGATTAGAGAGTTACATATTCGAAATCAACTCTATGTGAGCTCTAATCGTATGCAAAAAAATTGTCATAATCGAAAAATTAAGCGAAACTTATCTGCCTTCTTTAGAGTTAAATTTTGAAATTTCTATTTGAAACATATAATATCTATGACATTACATTTTTTATCGTGATTAAGCTGAAAAATTCACATCCAAATCTCTAAATCTAAATCTCAGTTTCAAGGGATAATTATTAGTACGAGTATCAGTACTTTCAACTAGTCGAGAATCACACACAAGCAATTTCTCTATAGCTCTATATTAGAAAAAACTGTTTTTGGTTTCAGTCTGGCAGAATATGCGGTCGTGTCACAAAATTAGACGTAATTCCAGCGGGTGATGCTAATGCCAAAATTCGATTCGGGCAGAGCAGGAACGACTGGAAGGTAGACTTTCTATATATGTCTCTTTAACCATTTGCTATCAATATAGCTGTCAGGAAGACTCAAATTATGACAGAGAAGAGCTAATGCGTTCGTTTCACAAATTATAAACGATTAAAATTATAAAATTAGTCAGCGATATCGCGTATATTCTGTGCATCCAGATCAGAATAACGTGATTAAAATATTATTAAATTTCATTATTAATATATCTATTAATTTGGAATATTCCATACATGGAGAGAATATTACAGTTTTCTTTTATACATATTGTCTTTAATTTTACGATATTTTTGATAATCAAGAAATAGACTGTCACTAAGATCCTTTTCGCTAAGAGACTTAGTAAATTTTGTTACATCCGCGTCATCCGCACAGATTCCTTTGTATTTTATTTCATTTATTAATGTTATTGTGAGAAGAATAAGTACTTATTGGTGCCGCAAGATTATTCAGTAATCATCGTAAGCAATGGGAAATATTATCAAATATTATCGATTTTCGAGAGTGAATACCATATTTTCTTTACACTAAAATCAAAGTGAAATACCATAAAAGTTTTTCTAACTTTAATTCGTCTAAATCTTATAAACATTTTATCGCTATAACTAATGAGAAATTACTATTTTTTGTTTCAGATATTCAATCAGAGTTTGTGGGCAAACTTAATTTAACTTAACCTAATGTAACCTCAAAGACGGACGCTGTTTCAATGAACACCGACGCTATACTGAAGAATCTAGCCGAGGAGGGTTGACTCGAAAGTAAATTTACAGTTTCGTTACATTATTCTTGTCAATCCTTTATTGTCTAGAATCGAGATGTAGTAACTATCATGACTCGAATTACGATTGTTAACCTCTATTCATATGTTCAAGTGCTAATACGCACTTGTTATTTAAATGTTAAGTGTTGTTAAATGAATGGTAAATGTGCAATACGCTCTTACCTCTGATTTTTTTGAAATTTTGAGAATTTATACATTTTAATGCATAGAATATATTTCTGAAAACAAAATATGTCGATAGTTATTATCGCTCATTTATAGTTTCCTTTTTTTTAATTTAAAATTTTATGGTGTCGGTAAGCAGAAAAGTGATAATTTTTATTATTAAACTTTGAAAAAATTTCACTTTTATTAATTAAATGAAAAAAGGAAAAACTGCATAAAAATCAAATATTCACTGTAAATATTCTCTGCTCTAATAAAAAACATAAACTTTTATGAAGCTTAAATTATAGCAGAGAATAATTTATTCTTTTCTCTGATGTAATCAAAAGCACAAAATCCCTTATGAAGCTTAAATTATAATAAAGAATAGGTTAAAGCAGAGAGACATGAGAGAGATTATGAATAATATGATATTAAAAATAATTACCTTTTTATGTAGATTAAAGTTTAGATCTAATATTTCTTTAAAATATATGCTATAATTATGCATGGCTACGTCGCTCTCATCTAAGTTCTTGTTTTCGAAAAATATATATATTTAATAAATATTATAATTCAACTAATTTGTTAGTTCAATTTAATAGAAATTATTTCATGAATAAATTTACTTCATAATTTAAATAAGAAAATCTGTTTTTGATCTCTCATTTTCTAGTTTTCGTGTAAGATTCTTTTAGAGTAAATGTTAAAATATATAATGTAAAAATTCTTCCGTGATAGCGTTTACTTGTACAAAGTTGATTAAAATTATTCGATTATAATCCTTCAAATTTCGATCCAAAATATTTTTCTGATGAATTTAGGCCATAAGTTTGCATCACTGACTACATCTTGAATGGCAAGTCAAGGATTATTATTAATTTATTCAACTGAATAAATTAATAATATACCCTATTTTTATTAAAGTCTTAAGATTATAATATAGATGACAATAAAGTAATTCAATAATATAATAATAATTAAGTTAGATGCAATAGAATTCTTTCCTACTTACCGACATCATAACACTTTAAATTAAGAAAAAGAAACGGCACATAAGCGACAAATTTTAATTTCAGAAATATATTTTACGCGTCAAAATGCATAAATTCTTAAAATTTCAAAAAGATTTGAGATAAGAGCGTTATATTGCATATTTACTAAATGAAATCTATGAATTTAACTAATCAAATTGTTTTATCTTTTCATTACATAACATGCTTCGGTGAACGCTGACGTCGCACCGGAGGATTTCGACCGAGAAGGGTCGACTCGAAGGTAAATTCACAGTTTCGTTACATTACTCTTCTTCATTGACATAATGTATCTAGACCGTGCGTTTTCCTTTGTTTGAAGAGTGAGGGTCGAAGTGTACAATCGGCGTCGAAAAGGTTGTCCGATTTTTTTTGTGATTTTCGCAACGCATCCGTCTTGTCCAACGGGAACATTCTCTTATTGGCCAATAAATTCTTCAATTGGACAAGACGGATGCGTCCCGAAAGTTACAAAAAACTAGACAATCTTTCTGACGTCGACATAGAAAAATATTCTGTTTTGTACATTTTGTTTTTCGCTTTGTACACATGCGCGAAAAAACGAGAGAAAAGGGATACAAAACAGAATAAATCCTTTTCTACGTGCACCTCGACCTTTATTCCTCAATACTCAGTCTGGATATACTATGTCTATACTCTTTTTGATTCTTTGCTGTCGAAAAACAAGATATAGTAGTCATCATTATTACTACGATTATTATAGATCATTATATATATAGTAGTCATCATTATTATTACGAACTACGATTGTGAAAAGTTAACTTTCATTCACATGCCAATATATATATATACATACACACATTTACTTTTTAAATCAAATCTCTAAATGCAATTAATCAAGTTGTTTTATTTTTTGTTGCAGAACTTGTGGCAAAATGTAGCCGATTCTCAATTCAGAGCGATTTAGTGTGAGTAAAAAATAAGAGAAAAATGATTACGAAAATTCAAGGTGGTGGATTTTTGTAGAATTTCGTTGTAAATAATGCGATTTACTTCACTCGTGTATTGCATGTATATGCGTGCCGTTGAACGAAATACTTCAAACAATCAAGAGATATCATTTTTTCCATATATATCTCCTATATTTTTTAATCTATATTATCTATATATTTATATACTTTTATATTTTATATTACCTATGTATTTATATATTTTATCTTTATATATTTATATATTTTTTCTCTTCTATATTTCTTCAATCTATATTAATATATTGTTAACATCCATATTTTAATATCTAATTTTATAATATTGCATATTTGTTTGGTGTGATCTTTTCTGTGTTGTCTCAAGTAATGCGCAAAATGTGCAAAATGCGCAAAATGTGCATCAGAGCTGCAGCATTACGCGCTGAATTCGCGATTACATTATCAGCATTGATAAATTTAATACTCGCACCGCGATGTTACTATTTCTCTACTCCTCACGTATTCAATTGTTTATGTTTACTTCCGTGTCACGCGATCGCGTTCTTCGCGAGCAAATCAAACTGAATTATTGCGAAAACAAACTTCTCAAAGGTATAAATTCAAGTCGAAATTTAGAATCTACTGCTAGTTTCGCGAATTTTCGTTTCCAATTAACGTCGTTATTATACTAATCTAATATTAGTTAATATTAGAATCTAATATTAACTTTCCATTGGTGCTTTTAGACATACATTTGCGTGTGTTCTAATCGCGAATAAATTTACTCGCCTTGACTCCGTAATCGTTGCAATCTTTAGTCTTCAATTTTGTATAGTTTGCTGTGCACGATACACTCTGCTCGATGTAAATATACGTAAACTCCATAAGAAAATAAATAAACGTCACGAAAGTAAATAAATATTTTTTATCCATTCTCGCGTTGCGTCTATATTCTTCAGAGAAAGTCGTTGAATTAAATCTGCGTAATTATTATGAAACTTTAAACTTCGCGCGCAAATATTGCGAAGTAGTATTGGCAGCAACAACATCGCGGAGCTATCTTCGCAAACAGAATTGCAGAGATATTTTCGCAAAAGATATTGCAAAGCTATCGTGCACGAGAAAGAGAGAATATCACGCTAGGTTCGGTTACTTCATTTGCGTACAGCTTCAATGAATTTCACGAATCACGAGATCGATCTTTCATTCGCGACTTTTTTACATGCGATTCGCAAGCCGCGAGTACGTTTTCAAAGTTTCGAAATTGATCGAGCCGCGAATATGTTTGCAAAGTGTCGGGATCTGTTATATTGTGATAGACATTTATTGAAGGGACTCGCAGAGTCCAATTTAATATTTTGGTTAATCGAGACCGCAACTAAAATATTGCGGAGTAATCTACGCACACAAATATTACGGAGTAGTATTCGCAATAAAATTACGAAGTACTTAATCTTCGCATTCAAATTACGAAGTTATCATGTGTGAGAAAGAAAGAGTATTACGCCAGTCTCAGTTACTTCGTCATACATTTTCGGTGAGTTTTACGAATCGCGGGATCGATCTTCCACTCGCGATTTTTTTACACGCGATTCGCGAGCTGCGTATGTTTTAAAAATTTCGAAATTGATCGAGCGACGAATACGTTCGCAAAGTGCTACGAGATTTCTTATATTAAAATAGTTATTTATTGAAAGAAAACTCGCAGAATCCAATTTTATCTTTCGTTAATGAAAGTCGTCGAATTTGTTCCAAGATGAATCGAAATTTGTCGTCGTTATTATTGAAACATGAATATCAATCACATCGTGAGTGTAATAAAATATAAACAATCTAAAACGATGCTAGACGGTAATATCCGATATTTATTTGGAAAACGAAAAATTCATCTTTTAATAATCAATAACACGGATCAGTACGTTTACACGCGTAATTATAGGATTGAGCGTGTAAAATTCATACGATATCATTCTGATTGCCCATTATAATCTCGATATTTTTGTATTAAGATTTTCGCAGAATCTCGCAGGATCCAATTTCATCTTTCGTTAATGAAAGTCGTCGAACTCGTTCAAAACTTGTCGTAATTATTATTAAAACGTGAATATCAATCGCGGCGCGAGTGTAATAAAATATATATCTAAAACAATGTTATATATATCTAAAACGATGAAATATATATCTAAGACGATGAAATATATATCTAAGACGATGACTGGATGTAGGACGACGCAGTGCGGGATGCAACATCGAGTTTCATGGTTAAAACTCCTACGTTGCGCTTTATATAATCTTGTTAAGGTATGTATGCCAAATTAGATGTCAATCGGACAATTGGTTATCGTGTAGAACATTAGTTTCACCAAAGAGCTAAGCATTTTATATATATATATATGTGTGTGTGTGTGTGTGTGTGTGTGTGTGTGTGTGTGTGTACATATAACTCATCTATTTTTTAATATTTTTTAAAATCATTTTCTCAACTAGGTCTTGTTGGACATCAGTAGACTTGGCTGGACGTCGAGGAATTTTATTGCAAAATGGTGAGTGTCGAATTTCAACATTCACAAAGTATATTATGTAGGTGCATGTTTTGTTGTAAATCGCATCAGTTTCCAACGATAAATAACACTGTTGATATTAAATGCAATATTTCGATGGCGTATTCTGGAGTTTAATTACAAGCGAAAACCTTAATACAAAAATATCGAGGTTACAATGGGCGATCAGAATGATATCGTATAAATTTTACATGCTCAATCCTGTAATTACGCGTGCACACGTACTGATCCGTGTTATTGATTCTTGAAAGATAAATTTTTCGTTTTTCAAATAAATATCAGATATCAGCATCCGCAAATGGAATAATCATAATAAACTGCATTGTGTATTTACATTTTTATTGCGACGAAGGGTCATATAATCGACGTGTAACAGATAAAATGTATCACAATTAAGGGCTCACGTTAACCCTGAGCACCGAAAAAATGTCAAAATTCTTTTTTTTCAATGCAATTAAAAATTATGAATAATTTTCTTCATTTTCAAATAATTGGTACATACAGTTTGATAAAAATTTTGTGAAGATACTTTGGAAAAATTTGTTTTAATAGTTGAGTTATAGGATATCCCGCGAAGCTCCTTTACTGAAATGCACAATGATCGGAAACATCATATCTCGAAAACCAATAGTCCGATTAACTTCTAATTTGGCACATATATTTTTAACAAGATTATCTAGCAACGTAGAATATTTTAGATATTTAAATATTTTAGATAACAATTTTTTAAATAATAAATGTTTAAAGTTAAATTTTTTAGACAGGAATCGAATTTTTGTCTTCAACTTGTTATAACTTTCACAACTTTTCAATATTCTCAAAATCTTAGGTTGCGCTTTAGATAATCTTAAGAATATGTATGTCAAATTAGAAGTCAATTGGGGACAATTCGAGATATCGTGTATAATAGAACATCAGTTTCAGCAAAGA